AAACGGCGAGGGAAATGCAAACGGAGGCGAAGTCCGGGCTGAGGAGTGGCGAGCTACTCAACGGCGTTAACAACAATAACAACAACGCGGTCAGGACGATAACGAGATACGTGCATACTAAGCATGCGGACTCGTCGGTGAAGATCTTTCGGGAGACGATGGTTTGATATTGCACTTCTGGATGGCGTTTGTCGCCCGCAATAACGTCAATCACGTCGTGTGTAAAAAAAAAATCGATTAGTCATTTAGAATTGTTTAACCCTTTCAGTACCACTTGATCAATTTAGAGAGGCACAATACGTTTCTACTGTGAATGAAATACTAATACGAGAACAATATACCTATATGAAAATTTTGTACCGGCATTTTATTAGAAAAAAAATATAATATACTTTATTTTTTTTTTTTATTACGCTTTAGAGTCTTTTGAAAGTCCCGAGAATTATTTGTAATGAGATAAAATGTTTTTATTTAAAAACTTATTTTTTTCTAAACTTTGGTATCAAAAGGGTTAAACGCTGTGTCAATAAAATAAAATGAACAAACGACGAATTGTAAAGCATTTGGCACGTTTTCGTCGTGACAGTATATTAATCCGATCCATTGAACACTATTGTAAAATCCGAATACTATAATCATTCCACTAGCGTAATCGGCAAAAGAACTTGCAAGAAAACGCGAATCAAACGTTGTGTTTGAAACTGCAAGCTGCGTGTCCTTAATACACTGTATGCAATAATCCAGGGGTTGCCTAGAACTCCGTGTGACATGTCTAAAAAAATTATAAAGATATTTAAAAGACGTCCTGTATTGTCAGGCCTCTTTTAAACGTCTTTTGCTACTTCATGGACTGTTAATCGAAGTATATATATCCGCGTATAATTCGACAAATCGTACTTTATTGGTGTCCAAGTTTTATATCTACATCTTGTTGTTATTTTAAATCCAGTCAAAAGTCGAGAGCTTCCTTACTTTTGCCAAAGTATTATTTTTGAACGCACTACGAAAGTTCCTCTGATTACCTTCGCTCGTGCGTTCACATACGACCAAAGATTTCGTACACCTATTTATTATCGGCATATCGTGCCGTCTTTCTCGATGGTATTAGAATTCTATACGAGATGCAAATGTAATGACACTGTAATGACACCGTATATCATAAATGTAACGTGAGTGTTCCGCGGTATAGATTTCTAGATATTTAACGTACCTTATCGGTTGTTCTTGTTGCGCTACGCTGTTAAATTCATTAATTATTGTACTTACCGCCACCGCAATCGACATGCGTCTCAAGTGCAACTGACATCCTAATTATCTCTAAGATTACTTCGCGCGCGTTATACTTAATTTTTTTAACTATGCAAATTAAGGTGTACACTGTTTATTGTAATATAAGGATGATAATCCTGCCGGAGGAAATCGATTCGTAGAATCGAAGGGTTAAGGGATCGTGGATTCTGTTAAAGGATGAACTATTTATAAATCAATAATAATAGTCTCTCAAAAAGTGTCATATTTTACACGAGTCATTAAGCTCGTTCGCGTTATTTACACTTTTTGTACTCAGCATCTTCGGTCTCTCTCTCTCTCTCTCTCTCTCTCTCTCTCTCTCTCTCTCTGTTTTCAACGCCCGAATATATATTTATCTCATTTGAAAATTTTGGGAGATTTCAAACAACGCGAGCAGACTTGAGAAAAGGGATTATTTTAAATGTACCTCTTCGTGAGAATATATCGGAATACGTTCTTTATATATTTACAGATTTATACATATATTACAGAAAATAAGCCGGTATCCACCTAGAGAGTACAGAGTGAGAAACTTACTAATAATTAAGCAAAGTTGTTGTGTCTGTATGAAAAAATATCTACGGACAAAAAACATTCGCGAGTCGTTCTCTCACGACTCGCTGTGCCAATCCGTTCCACCTTAGAATTTTGCACATGTTTAATATAAATGTAAAGACTCCTCACTGCAGACAGTGAGTTGCGTAAACGAAGTTTTTTTGGAAACCTCGTTAAAAAAGTATGCATCTTGTACTTAATGTTTCAATCATTAAAACAAACTAATGCGAGAATACGTAACGTTTACGAGAACAGTCCAGAGATTGCTGCGATGGCGAAGAATGTTGTCGGATGCTGGGGTCCAGTTGTATCTTCATCGACAATTTTATAGACGTTACATATAATAGCTCTCGATCATGTCATTTTTCGAAGTGCGTGTATTGAGACATTTATATCATGGCATTCCACATGAAATTAGCCGATTAATTCGAATCGATGTGCTAGTATCTTTGTATTGTAGATTCGCGAAGCTTCTTTGCGCTTCGCTACAATAGAAAATCGGTAGAGAAAGTTCTTCCTTTATGTCGTTAGTTGAATTATAATAGTGCTTCTTCACGATGTTCACATACTTCCAAAATGATTTTTAACTGTGAATTGAAAATCGCGCCTTTGAAGAATTAAATCGAACTAAATCGGTGTAGCGAACATTCGCTTCGGTGTCCGTTTCTCAGCTTATTGATTAATAAGATTTAGAATGACGGGAAGAGAGCGGACAACGCTATTTAGCGATTTAAATGTAAGATGAAAATTACGAAGCCTTCATTTCTATCGCTTTCATGTACGTTGTTGAACTCTGATGTACACGTTGTTGGACACGCATATGATATATCAATAAAATATTATAATTCTAAATGTCACACCGTGATATAATACATTATGTAGATCAAAGAAATTATAAGAAACGCCACAAAGATCTTCCCGCTTTCACACGTCTTTTGGAATGTTTAAATGTTACCAATTTTTTTTTACAACGTCGAGGAGAAATTATATATTTATTCCTTTCCAAAGATAATGAAATGCTTTTAATATCGAAATACAGTCTCCCTTAAAAATCTTAAATGACATATGTCTCATTTTTCGTATAGCATAATTCTATTTACATCGCACGAAAAATCCAATCATCGTCAATCCAGAAAAAATCTTCCTCGGAATTTCTCTAAGCTCAATCTTGATGTCAGCCTCTTCTCTTGAATGTTCTTTTATTTTTCATTCATTAAGGAGAACTGTCGAGGGTTTATTATCTGCGTGGCCATCATTTCTGAGATGTATGAGGGGAAGTATCGTTTCTTGCGATCGAAGTGACGTTGATGTTGTACTTTTATAAACACATGCGTACTTGTATTTTGTACCGATAGCGTCTCGCATCACGTCGCGATGACACAATACACGAAGATGTATCCAACGAGACGAGAACACGTACATATCGTGCGTTGTGATGTTCGGGATCGCGCAATTGTGACACGTAAGAAAACGCAGAGACGCTTCATCGACAATTATCTCGAAGAGCGACACGCTCATTTCATGTTGTACCAATGTTGTAGAAAAGGAAATAAAGTTACGATCCCATAAATCGTATGGACAGAGATATTGCCTTCTGTGTTTTTCGATACCTTTATAAGCACTGACTGAACAACACCATTTTTTTCCTTTGCTAGAGAATTATGGTATTTCTTACCTTTGACTGGAATATTTTCTATGAAAATAGAATATCCAAGGTAAGGAAGTAAATGATACAGTTTTAACAGTTTCCATTAACTCATATTTTTGCATCGATACAAAATATTGTGATTCAAAATATTGTGATCTTAAGAAAAAAATTATTATTTTGAAAAATATTTAAAAATAATAATATATGACCTACATTTAGAAAAGATTGTAGTTTATTATGCATTTGTACTTGGAATCATAATGTCATTGTATATATAATTTTTATTTACAATCTTTTTTTTTCACTTGTACTAATATCGAACACCGCGATTACATTTATGTATTTTTATAACAAATTATAAGTTGCGTATTATCTCTCTTCTACAAATACTAAAATAGTTCAAGAATAATAATGTAACGAAATAATATCATTATATTATTTTACATATCAGGTTTTTTGGATACGTTTCATTTAACATTTGCAACATTCGCGAGTATCATTTCGTCCTTCTTGTCATTGTCATTGAATTAAACAAGACTGAAATGATACACGCGAGCGTTGCAAACTTTAAGCGGAACATATCCTTTGTAGTGATTTCTCTTTGTTTTTACTGATATTTCTTTCGTTTGTCTTTAATCTTTTGAAAATTTCTATAATTTCTTTATAATTTTTAATTTTTCAAAAAATTTTATATAACATAGGAATTAAAATATGGTATATCGATAAGTTAATGTCTGAAGAGGGCTCAATCCGGTAGCCGAAACTTGTAATTTATTTGTATTTCAACTGAGTTTTTATTATTTTTTATTATATATTCTTTTTAATTTTACTTTTCTCTATTTGTAATCTATTCTTTTAATTGGATGACTTTTTTAAAGAAATGTGTGAACTCTTTTACTTTGCCCTTTATTTATTGTTATTTATTTAAAATATGGTCTCTACAAGATCTCTATAAATTCAATATTAATACAGCGGTGACGTGATAATTAAATGCGCATGCGTGAAAAAGCGACTCCTCTGCTAGCATAGATAGGCTACGGGAACCGATTCACGCTCACAATGCTTAAAAATCATTTTATCCTTGTTGTTCGTCAAACGTTAAAGGACATTAACGAAGACAAATAATGCTCATGAGCTCATCAGCATAAATCGGACCACAGCCATAGTGTGCGCGTGTAAGCCGGATAAAGCTGCTAGCCTGCACACCGAGCGATTGAATGTGATTGGTTGGATCTATAACCAATCATATTCATTTACTCGGCAAACAGGT